AGAGGGCCTTGTATACCATATGAAGGAGTTTGGATTTTATTCCCAAGGCTTTTGAGGAGAGTAACGCCCTTATCCAACCTGTGTTTTAAGAAAGAATATCAAGGATGAATTAGAGTGGATTAGAATGGGGGAAAAGAGACCTCTTAGGACTGTTCTAATAGTTCAGACAAGAAGTGAAGCTTGAACTAGAGGGCAGTAGCAGTAGAAAGGTGGGGTTGTCAGAACTTGGTGATTGATTGGGTGTGAAAGAGTGGGAGGAATTTAGGATGACTTCTAGGTTTTTGGCTTAGGTGCTAGGCGGTTGGATTGTCAGTAAGTCTGAGACAGGCAATACAGGATGGCAGAACAGGCTTGGAGAAAGATGGTGAGTTTACTTTTGGACATGGTGAGTTTGAATGAGTTATCAGGAAGAAATGTTCAGGAAGTAGGTATGTGTGGGTGTGGATGTTGGGTGAGTGTAGTGTTGTAATAATTATTTTGAGAAAGGTATGGATTTGGAAGTTATGTTTCACATATCATGAACTAATCTAGACAACCAGTAATCTACTTTCTGTCTCTATAGATTTGCCTATTCTGGACATTTCAGATAAATGGAATCACATAATATGTGGGCTTCTGTGACTGGCTTCTTTCACTTAATATAATGTTTTCAAGGTTCATCTACGTTGTAGCAGGCATCAGTACTTCATTCCTTTTTTTATAAAAAACGGGTTTATATAATTCATATACCCTACAATTCACCGATTTAAAATGTGCAATTCAATGGTTTTTAGTATATTCACTGAGTTATTCATCACCACAATCAATTTTAGAACATTTTCTTTACCCTCCCCCCAAAAAAACCTTACCTCTTAGCTATCACCCCTCCAATCCTCTCATCCACCCACCACCCAACACTAGGCAACCACTCGTCTACTTTCTGTCTGTATAGATTTGCCTATTCTGTGTATTTCATATAAATGGAATCATACAATATGTGGTCTTTTGCTTCTGGCTTATTTTGCTTAGCATGATGTTTTCAAGGTTCATCCGTGTCATAGCATGTATCAATACTTCATTCCTTTTTATTACCAAATATTCCATTGTGTGGATGTACCACATTTTATTTATCTATTCATCAGTTGAACATAAATTGGGTTGTTTCCACCTTTTGACTATTATGAAAAATGCTGCTGTGAACATTTGTGTGGACAAACATTTTCATTTCTCTTTGGTGTATACCTAGGAGTGGCATTGCTGGATCATATGGTAACTTTATGTTTAACTATCTGAGGAACTGTCAGACTTTTTTCCAAAGTAGCTGTATCATTTTACATTCCTATGTATAAGGGTTCCAATTTCTCCACATCCTTGCCAACCCTTTGTATTTATTATCTGTCTTTTTGATTCATATACACTATCCTAGTGTATGTGAAGTGGTATCTCATTGTGGTTTTGATTCGCATCTTTTTATGTGCTCTTTTATGTAACTTCTTTGAAGAACTATGTGTTCAGATCGCTAACATCTGCTGCCAATCTTACTCTTTTTTTTTGTATGCAAGCCGCCACCACAGCACGGCCACTGACAGATGAGTGGTGTAGGTCCGCACCCAGGGAACCGAACCTGGGCCACTGAAGCAGAGTGCGCTGAACTTAACCACTAGACCACAGGGGCTGGCCCTCGCCCATTTTTTAATTGGGTTATTGGCCTTGTAATTATTGAGCTAAGAGTTCTTTCTATATTTTAAATACAAATCCCTTATCATATATATGATCTGCAAAAATTTTCTCCCATTCTGTGGGTTGTCTTTTCTCTTTCTTGACGGTATCCTTTAAAGCACAAAGTTTTTAGTTTTGATGGATCCAGTTTATCTTTTTTTTTTCCTTTGGTTGTGTTGTACTATTGGTATCATATCTAAGACTGCCAAATCCAAGGTCACAGAGGTTAATGCCTGTATTTTCTTCCTTCTTCTAAGAGTTTTATATTTTTAGCTCTTTCATTTAGGTCTTTGATCCATTTGATCCATTTGAGGTGCTAGTGTTGACCCTGTCCCTTACTTGCTTTGTGACCTTGGACTGTTCATCTTCCTTTTCTCAGCCTCATTTTTTTTTAATCTGTAAAAATTTTTTTTCTCTAAAAAAATTTTTTAATCTGTAAAAAATGAAAGCTGATATGTATGTATATAAATAAACAACAATAAAAATCAGATCAGTGGTTGCCATGGGCTAGGAGTTGGGGGAAGGTATTGACTGCAAAGATGAGAGAACTTTTTGGGGTGATGAAAATACTTTATATCTTAATTGTGGTGCTTGTACAACTGTATACATTTTTCAGGATTCATAGGTTTGCCTAAAAGGGGTAAATTTTACTATATGTAAATTAACCTCAATAAACCTGTCTAAAAAAAACACCTTACATCAACTCTATAAAGTATACGCTATTCTTTTCTTTTTTTAAATTTTTTTTCTTTTTTGTGAGGAGGACCAGCCCTGAGCTAACATCCAATGCCAATCTTCCTCTTTTTTGCTGAGGAAGACTGGCCCTGGGTAACATCCGTGCCCAACTTCCTCTGCTTTATATGGGACACCGCCACAGCATGGCTTGACAAGCGGTGCGTCGGTGCGTGCCTGGGATCTGAACCGGTGAACCCTGGGCCACCGCAGCGGAGCGCGCGCACTTAACCGCTTGCACCACTGGGTCGGCCCCCTATTCTTTTCTTTTTGAGGCTAGAGGAGACTGAGGCTCAGAGAGGTTAAGGGACTTGCCTGTGGCCCCACATTTGATGTGTGGCAGTTCCCAGATGTGAACCTAAATCTGCCTGATCATAGAGCTTGTGATCTTGCTACTCATTTTCAGCCTGTCCCTGAAACTATTAACTGTATGGGTTCTGTTGTAAAAGGCCAGCCTTCCCTTGAAAGCCAGGAACCCTGTCTGCCTGTGAGCAGTTCCCCAGAAGTGGCTCATATTCTTATTCCAAATTTTGAACCCCTGGCAGCTCACATTTCTATCAGTCATTAGTTGGAATTGGAATTGATGCTGTTATTGAGTGCTGCCCAGGCATGATCTCCTTCTGAGCCTGTGGCCTTCATTTTGGAGCAGCAGGAGACCAGTTTCAAAGCTGATGAGTTTCTTTGGTTATGAAAAGTAATTTCATACTTTGTCCAATCAGCAATACAAGTACCTTCACTGTAGGAGTGCTCAGGTGTTTACAGGGCCAGTTGTACTGCTTAGCACTTTAACAGTCTTCCTCCCCCCAGCTTATTTCGCAGAGAACTGCTTGGGTAGAAGAGAGATCCAAGCAGGGAAAGTGTACAACTAGTCTTCTGTATTGTTGTTGTTGTCACATCATCACCATCATCATTTACATCTGGATGCCACTTTACAGTTTGCAGTGTATTTTAACATCTGTGATCTCTCTTAATTCTCTCAGTACTCCGTCAGGAGAGTGCTTATACTATAGTCATGTGCTGTTTAATGATGTTTCGGGCAGTGATGGACCACATATACGACAATGGTCTCATAAGATTAGTACCATATAGCCTAGGTGTGTACCATCTAGGTCTGTCGAGGTACTCTTGTGTAAGTACACTCTATGAGGTTCACACGATGACGAAATCCCCAGCAACACATTTCTCAGAACGTGTCCCCATCATTAAGTGACATATGACTGTATTTACAGAAAGAGTGTTACTTGGCTGTATTCTTGGATAACTCTGGCTGCAAGAATATTTTTTCCTTAAGTTGTGCTGAAATATATATCTTCTGTAACTTTCATCCTTAAGTTCTTCTAGTTTCAGTTTGTCGACTGGTGGTAGTTTAATCTAGCCTGTTGCCTTGGGGTGCTTTGCCAGGGCTGCACGCTGGATACATTTCAGGAAGGTCTAGCCTCTGAAATTGACCAGTGATGTTTTCATTTTTGCCTATTTGACCATCTCAGCTTCCTCTCCTTGGGAACTCATCTTTTTTCCACCACTCATTCCAGAACCCTGGACAGACTAGTTAATCACAGAGCAGTTGTCATCAAACCAGCTGTTGACTGCTTGTCTTCATCATTTGGCTTGTTTCCTATCTTGAGGTGCTACAGGAAGAAGTTAATGACCTAAAAAATTGCCCATCTATCATGTGAGCCTAGTTAGGAAGGAATTGTTTGATTTTTATGAAGTGTAAATAATATATTTGGAGACACGTTTTCAAACATGTGTCAGCCCATGTGTCAGAGATGGTTCCCTAAACAAGGTGGGACAAATTGGCTGGCTAATAGAGCTTAATGACAGATTTTCCATTAATCAGAATGGAGAATGTGCTTCATTAAGATAATTAACAGAGCACTTGTGCAGGTGATACTTATTGCACACAAATTTCCAAGTTTCTTTCTTTCCCTTGAATAAATTTTGGAAGAGATCTTGGCTGTGTTTCCTTGTTTGCATTAAAATGATCAGTGGCAATAAGTTCCCATTTTTTCCAAAGCTGCTAGTAACTGGTCTTGTCCTCTGCAGGCACAAGGAGTCAATGAGACACTTGCTGCTCTCCCTTCCAGCAGTCTGTGTGCTCATTGCCAGGCACTCAGGCTCCCCTAGTGAACAGTAGAAGTGCATCCTTTCCCAGCTCGTGGACTAGCATCATTAGAATTAGAAAGGACCTCAGAGAGCCTAAGCTAATTGATTTTACATCAGGACATTAAAGTCCAGAGAGGGGAAGTGACTTGGCCAATGTCACACAGTACGCTAATGGAAGAGTCGTCTGTGGGATAGTGGGACTAGTACTGAACTAAGAGCCAAAAGGCTTGGGTTGACATTAGGTATCACCTCTCTGCTTCTCAGTATCTGCATCAGTATAATGGGAAAAGTGTCTAGCATAGGGCCAAGTACGAACAAACGGCTTTTTGTTTAGTCCTCTTTCTACTATACCATTGCTTCTTGTTGCTTCTCTCTGAACAGAAACTGAAGATTATAGAGGAGAAGCTGATGTCAGGGAGAATGAGCAATCAATAATCAATGCTGTTTTCTTTGTTTCTCTGTAGGATCCTCAGTCTTCCACAATGAACCCTGTTTACAGCCCCGTGCAGCCTGGGGCTCCTTATGGCAACCCTAAAAACATGGCCTATACAGGTGAGTGGTGTGAGAATGGCTCTCATTTTGAGAAATGGTGGTTAAGGACATTACCAAATAACTTGCAGGATGACTTTTGGCATACTACACCTCCAAAAGCCCTGGTGAAGCTTGGGAACTTGGAGAAGGGAGACATGTCTGGGGTCCAGTGGGGATGGAAATGATATTCTTGAGACTGGGAATTATTGAATTATCAACTAGGGGGACGAAAGGAAGGAAACATCTATTTATTGAGTACCTACCGTACGTCTGGCTCTGTGCTGGGCACTTGCACATACCATATTTCAATTAATCTTAAAGCAAGTCCACACCATGCAGTTTATTATCACCATTTCACAGACGAGAAAACCATAGTCACAGTAGGAGGCCACAAAACAAAACAAAAATAGATATTTGAACCCAGGTTTGCTAACTTTTTTTCCTGAACTGCAAACCAAGGTGTTTCCAACTTCTTTACCTTTGTGTATGTTGTCCCTCTGTCTGGAATGTGTCCCGTCTGGAAGGTGTCCTCTTACACCTTCACGTTATTTTATTTTATTTTTTTTGGTGAGGAAGATTGGCCCTGAGCTAATATCTGTTGCCAATCTTCCTCTTTTTACTTGAGAAAGATTGTCACTGACCTAACATCTGTGCCATTCTCCCTCTATTTTGTATGTAGCACACCGCCACAGCATGGCCGGATGAGCAGTGTGTAGGTCCACACGCAAGATTCAAACCTGCAAACTCTGGGCAGCCGAAGCAGAGCGCACAAGCTTAATCACTATGCCACCGGGCTGGCCCCCTCTCTTTTTTTTTGCTTAGGAAGATTCACCCTGAGCTAACATCTCTTGCCAATCTTCTTCTTTTTCTCCTTGAGGAAGATTAGCCCTGAGCTAACATCTGTGCCAGTCTTCCTCTATTTTGTATGTGGGTCACCACCACAGCATGACCAACGAGTGGTGTAGGTCTGCTCCTGGGATCCGAACCCACAAACCCGGGCCACAGAAGCAGAGCACACCAAACTTAAATACTATGCCATGGGGCCGGCCCCCCACCTTATTCTTTCAGAACTCAGCTCTGAGCTCAGACAGCACTTTTCTAGGAAGCATTCTCTCCCTTACTTGGCCTTAGGCAAGTTTTTTAACCTTCCAGAGCCTCAGTGTTCTCATGTATAAAATGAGGGCAATAGTATTACCCTATTTCATAGGGCTGCTGTAAGGATTAAATGAGCACTCAGGCACTCAGCATATACTATAATATCATGTATTATAGCATGTAATGTCTCAGCATATAATATTTGGGACAAACTAAGTGCTTAATAATGGTTTTTATTATTTACAAATAATTAAAGATGGGTAGGTAATGAAAGTGAGAAAATGTATGTAAATTGTCTAACATGGTGCTTAGCATATCAAAAATATAATGAATATAAATCCAAGGCAAAGGTAACACTATGACAAACACATGGAGGTGAAAAGGTGTGGTCAGTGTCTGTTAGTACTTGAGAGTAGCTGGAATAAAGAGTGGAAAAGGGGTAAAGTGGGAAATGAAGCTCAAAAAGTAGATTCAGATTGTCTTGGTGGCAAGATTGGAGGTGGGGGGTGGAGAGTTTTGCCCCAGAAGAGAGCCATTGGCAGTGGGTAGAATATACCGGTTATTCCTTGTAACTGCACTTTACTGTGTATGCTGTAGTATAGCTTCCTAGACAGAGAATGGAGGATCTCAGAGAACTCTTTGTCTAGTTATTCCAAACTTTGTTCTGTAAGAACAGTAGGGAAGTGCTTCAGAGATTCCTCAAATATTTGGTTTGATTTTTAAAAAATATTTAGAACTATTTTTATAAAGCACGTATACACATAAGATGATCGGTGTGTTAACTTAAGCTTCTAAGAGTGCATGTTAATTAAAAAAAACTGCTAACATTTGCAGCTACTTATATTTGTAAATCAGGATTTTCTCAATGCTGTGCAAACCAAAAAACATTCAGAAATATATTGGAGGTTGAGCCTGATATAACCATAGCTGTCATCACTAACTTTGAATTTCATATGTTTGTGTTTATCACAACAGCTCCTTGTTATTTAACCTTAAGAGTAAATATTTTCAGGGCCGGCCCCGTGGCTTAGCGGTTAAGTGCTTGCGCTCTGCTCCTGGCGGCCCGGGTTCGGATCCCGGGCGTGCACCAACACACCGCCTCTCCGGCCATGCTGAGGCCGTGTCTCACATACAGTAACTAGAAGGATGTGCAGCTGTGACATACAACTATTCACTGGGGCTTTGGGGGGAAAATAAATAAATAAAATCTTTAAAAAAAAAAAAAAGAGTAAATATTTTCTGTTTGAACTTCTCTTGTATATTTATTCTAATAAAATTAATTCCAGTAACCAGGACCCATTGGCCAGTGTCCTATGCCCTACTAGCTCAGGGAGCCTGTTGCTTTTTCCCTTTCCGGTTCAGAGTGTTCCAGGAACCTAAGTTCCTTTGCCAGAGGGGACTGAGCTCCTTTGGCAGACAGAGCCCAGGGCAATCCTGCCGGTTTCCTGTGAACCTTGTTGCCTTTATTCTTACTGAGTTGCTAAACTTGAGAAAGAAGAAAACAGTTGCATTTGTCTGTCAATTTGCACAAAGAAGATTAGGCGGTGTTTGGAAAGGGAACAGACCTTGTCTCTGCTTGGCGCATGGTAGAACTTGGTAAATGTGTTTTGATTGAATGAACAGCAACCAGGTTCAAAACGCTGTTCTGTCAGATAATAGCTGGGTGACTTTGAACAAATTGCTTAACCTCCCTAAATTTAAATTTCTTTTATAAACTGGGATAATATTATCTATTTCATAGGACAGTTGTGAGAATCAAACGAGATAATTAGTACTCCTCCAGAGGGAAGGTGGGAGGGAGGATTGTCTTTGTTTCTACTAATCACCAAGGAATATTATCAGCTTGGAACTATGTTTTAAGTTAATTTCTGTACTGGAGATTCTAGGACCACACAGGTAGTATAAATTCCACACAAGCAGAATAAATTCAGCCCAAGGTTTCAAATTCTTGGGGGAACTTTCTTTTTTAACCTAAGCTTCCTGTTGTCTCTCTCTACTTTGAGTCAATTTTTTTTAACTGACAGTTTGACTCCTCTAAGGCCCCAGCTTTATGCAGGGGAATTTGAGTTCCAGCGCATGGCCTTTCCAGGGCCCAAAGCTTCATCTCCCTCCGCCGCCCCCCACTAAAAAGCAAGCCGTTTGATTGCCCAAACCGAAAAACCTTCACAGAGCAGTCCAACATCAGCTCACAACAGTTCCTGATTTTTAGTTTCCTCTTTATTTTTTGACCCCTGGAGATTTCTTTTTCTTTCCTTAAATCTCAACTCTGCCTATGTTTGTTATATAACATAAAATGTGTGTTGTATTGTATCCAGCTTTTCTAGGTGTTCTGCAGTAGGCAGATTTTCAGGTTATTGTTTCTCCACATTGCTACAAATAAAAGATCCAAGTGAGATAATTTGTAAACAAATGCCAAATACAATGCAACAGAGTAAACATTTATTATTATTGTTAGTAACAATAATGGTTATGTTAAAGAGTATTAATTACCATTTGGCAAGCACATGCTAGATACTTTATATATATTACTTATAATCTTATTAATCATAAATCCCATAGTACTCTTCTTTTACAGTTAAAGAAACTGTGGTAATTTAATTCAGGTCATATGACTTGGCCAGTGTATATAGCTTCTAAAGGATGAGGAAAGATTTGAACTCAGGTCTTTATGACTTTAGCAAGCTGATGTGTCTTAAAATATGTACTCCTTTCACTGCTCCCGGTGATAAGCTAGGGGAAAGGGTGGTCTTTTTAGTTTCTAGGACTAGGTAGCCTTGCCTTTGAGAAGCTAGAAGCCTGCCCCTGGCCAGCAGTTTGGGGTAGGCTAGGGGTGCAGAAGAAGCAAACGTGGAGGATCAAGTCTATTGTGGTATCATCTGCATCAGAGATAACGGAGTGGTAGCCACAGGGAAGAGAGAGGTCAGAAAAACTCCTGATTTGAAATTCTCTCTGAAGTCTAAGAGGGAAATAAAATACAGATTTGCAGTTATGATTCTGGCACCAATCCTGGTGTTTGGGTCCTTTTCCCCATGCCAAGCAATTCTCCGACACCAATTGGGTGTCCTACAGTTCAACTCAATTCTGACACTGTCCATCTGGTGATAGTGTCAGATTCCACTGGTTAAGGGCTCAGTCCCATAAGATTGTCCCCATTTCAGATGCAAATCGCAAGTCCAGGTTGTTACCTGTGCTTTTGACTGACTGGCTTATAAATCAGAGGTTTACAACCCCCTCCTTGGGTTCAATTAGTTTGCTAGGGCGGCTCACAGATCTCAGGAAACCAGTTTACTCACTAGATTACAGTTTATACAAAAGCATATAACTCAGGCACAGTCAGGTAGAAGAGATGCAGGGCAAGGTATGTGGAAAGGGTGCAGAGCTTCCATGCCCTCTCCAGGCACACCACTCTTCCAGCACCTCCATATGTTCACCAACCTGGAAGTTCTCCAAACCCCATCCTTTTTGGTTTTTATGGAGAATTCATTACATAGGCATGATTGATTAAATATTGGTCATTGGTGATTGATTCAACCTCCAACCCCTTTCCCCTTCCTGGAGGTCAGGCAGGTGAGACTGAAAGTTTCAACTCTCCAGTCACATGGTTGGTTCCCATGGCAACCAGCCCTCATCCTTAGGTGCTTCCCAAAAGTCACCTCATTAACATAAACTCAGGTGTGGATGAAAGGGGTTTGTTATGAATATCGACATACCTTTATTGCTCTTATCACTTACGAAATTCCAAGGGTTTTAGGAGCTCCCTGCCAGGAAAGGGGATGAAGACCAAATATATATTTCTCATTGTAAATCGCAATATTACTGCAATACAGTGTATTCCAGTGTCTAGCCAATTGACAGTGTTCTATCTCTCTCCTTTTTTTTTGGTGTTGGTGAGGAGGTCAGCCCTGAGCTAACATCTGCCAATCCTC